CCGCGGGGGGGCGGCGCCGGGCCGCGCTCACGCTGTCTGTGTCTCCCCCTGCCCCGTTAGAGCTGGCGAACTACGAGCGCAACGTGAACCGCGCTATCCACAAGTACAACGCGTACAGGTACCGGCAGCCTCCCTCCCGGGCCGCCCCTGCCCGCCACCCGGGCCCCGGAGCGGCTGGCCCGGTGCCTCAAGGCTGCTGTCCCGCAGGAAAGCGGCCTCCGTGATTTCCCGGTATCCCAGCAAGATCCAGAGCGGCGCCGAGGCCAAGAAGCTGGCAGGTGGCGTCTCCCGGGTTGTTGCATCTTATTGCAATAAGTACAGTGGTTATAAACGCCCTTAACTTGTTCTTCTCACCCCTTTTTCATTCTGATATCTAGGATGGAGTAGGGGCTAAGATAGCGGAGAAAATAGATGAGTTTTTATCCACCGGGAAGCTGCGCAAGTTGGAAAAGGTGAGCGGCTTTTGCGTGCACCCTGTTTCGTGATGGTTGCTTTTCTTTACGCTTTACAAAGTGCTCTGTTTGCCCCGCGGAACTTCCGTGGATGTCTCCAGGGAGACAGATGCCCAAGTGGACAGGGAACCTATGGGGGGTAGAAACTGGGGGGCAGGAAGCTCAGTTGGTGCTTTTTGGAGAATATTTTGGATGATATCATTGCCATGTGAGTGTCTGCTCTGCAAAATGGATGTCTGGACCTGGAGAACTGGAGTTTCGAGTTTTAAACGTGCTGCTTAGCTCAGCACAGGGAGTCAGAGTGGGTGGTTTTCAGGGCTGGGACGTATGGCGTTGCTGTGATGCACATTCTGCTGCTCCCGTTTTGCTCAGATTTATTGTCAGCCTCTCGAGCAGAATCCAAGCAGGTAGCATTATCTTCTGCAGATTCTCGTTTTTATTGAGAGTGCAGCAAATATGGACTTGGTTTGTGTTCCATTTTTCCAGATTCGTCAAGATGATACCAGTGCATCTATCAACTTCCTGACCCGAGTTACTGGCATTGGGTGAAACTTCTTTTTTCCCCCCTTCTTTCTCCTGTTTGCTCACTCTGCCCCTGTCCCTAATCTAATTTTAAATGATTAATGTCACTGGATACTTGTATCAGTAATAAAAACTGTACACACCAAGCTTTGCACACCCAGCTCTCCCAGTGGAAGTGGCAGAAGTGATTTTAGCCTTGGTCTGGAGGAACCTAGAGGTCTAATGTTCTTTTTGGTGTTATGAGATTCCTGCCGTTTCTGATTGCAAATTGCCTGGTCCCTTTGCAGTCCTGCTGCTGCGAGGAAGTTTGTAGAGGAAGGAATTAAGACTCTAGAAGGTACGTGTCGTATCTTGCAATGACTCAATTCACACTCCACCAACACTGCTGCTTTCCAGCTGCCTGTCTCCCCGTAGTACTGCCATAGTATTATGCCTAATTTTCATGTAAATGAATTAAAAAGCATCTATTTTTCTATTTTGTTACATAGTCTTCATTTGTATCATTTTTGGATGGTAGGAATACTGCTGTAAAACTCTAGTGTTTGAATAATTTTTCTATGATTATTATAGATCTAAGAAAAAATGAACACAAGCTGACCCATCACCAGCGAATTGGGTTGAAGTAAGTTTTCGTGCATGCAGATTCTTAGCTTTTCTAATAACTCCCTTTGACACTAGGATGTAAGGTTCCGCCTGTGTGCTCTGCATGCTTTTTGGTAGTTCAGATCAAAGAATAATTGGTATTTTTTTATCATATGCATTTAACTGACTGAAATCTTAAGATATTGCCATTGCGTCTCTCAGTGATTTTTATGTTTATATATGCAGATATTTTGAAGATTTTGAGAAAAGAATTCCAAGGAAAGAAATGCTGCAAATGCAAGTAAGAAAGTCTTTGTCAAGGACATGAGGCAATGAGCATAACTGAGGGACTGACATCCCATCTCTTCTCTTTCCATAGGAAATTGTGCTGAAAGAAGTGAATAAGCTGGACCCGGACTACATTGCTACAGTCTGTGGCAGTTTTAGACGAGGTTGGTGCCGTGTGATAGCTTTGGGGTGTTTGCTGAGGTGTAGGGTGATGACAACTGTTTTTGTTTGCAGTAAAAGCCATGTTCTCTTCGGTCAGTTTTCCACAAATGGGTACTTTATACAATAAACGTGTGTTTACAAGAACAGGCAAGTGAATGTCCATTGAAGTTAGTGTAGTTTCTGTCAGGGATGAGCATTGTTCAGGCACAGTGCTCACCTTAACTGCTCTTGTTAACATGTCTCCTCTTGTCCCTGTTAACAGCAGGGCTTGCACATGGACCCTTTCTTACTTTCCTAGGTGCAGAGTCAAGCGGGGACATGGATATTCTCCTAACCCATCCAAGTTTCACATCTGAATCATCCAAACAGGTAAGTTAATCTGTTATGATGAATCAGTACTATATATTTCTCCCAGAAGGATATCTATAAATACAACTATGCAGTCTTACGCTTGTATTGCAGCGTTTTGAATCTTTTTTTGTTGTTGCTGTTGTGATAATAGTAAACTACTGTCTTTTGAGCAACATGTTTATTTTGAGGAGTTACATCAGTTCTTGCACCTGTATATTATGTCATGCTCTCTCTGCAGAGCTATTTAGTATGTTTACTCTTTTCTCCTTAGTCAAAACTCTTGCATCAAGTTGTAGAACAACTGGAAAAAGTTGGCTTTGTCACAGATATGCTGTCCAAAGGTGACACCAAATTCATGGTAAGGATCTGGGGGATGCGAAGGATGCAGTGGGGTTACGTCTCATGACAGCAGCTGGAGTAGATATGAAATGTGTTGTTTAGACTCTGAATTTGTTGCTTTCCGTGCAACCTCACAGGGTGTCTGTCAGCTGCCAAATAAAGAAGATGG